ACACACGACAGTGAGAGACCTATCCCCGACACAAAGGCGCAAGGAAGCGACCCTCTCGTTCACCGGTGTGAATTCCAACACATGGCGGCTGAGCTGGGGGGCTATAAGCAAACCCACACCAGCCCGCCGCCTCTCACCATGGGCAACTCCAGAGTGGTAGAGAGTCCAGCCTCTCTCAAGGAGTGTGGTTCCAGAGCCCAAAGCTGTGCGTGGAGGTGAGCCCGTCGGTACATCTCTATCGGCTCCTTCCCCGCCAGCGAGGTGACGTTCTACATCCCTAAAGCCAGTTTCTGTGTCCAGAGATCGGGTCGTCGGGGCCCTCGCCTTCAACTGCCGCCCGATCCACTAAGCACCGGCCCCTTAAGATCCCACAAGGCGCTCCCGGGCCTGGCTCCAGGGTGGGGCCCCGGCTGCGCCATGCCGGGCGACGTCTCAGCCCTTGATTTATCTTTCTTCATAAGGGGTTTTTGAACCGCTCTTAGTCTGACCGGTCACCTAGGACCTGTTTGCCTTGGCAGACCCTACCAGGGGCATATAGCCCCGGACCACATAGCTCCTAGGATCATTCGGGTACTCAAACCCCTCCACCGCGATAAGGTGACAGTTCAAGGAGATATAATATTACAAATATTAATATAATAGTACACTCACCAGCCACTTTATTATTAGGTACACCTTTTTAACTCCATGTTAACGCAAATATCTAATCAGCCAATCACATGCCAGCAACTCAATGCATTTAGGCATATACATGGTCAAGACGATCTGCTGAAGTTCAAATTGAGCATAAGAATGAGGAAGAAAGGTGATTTAAGTGACTTTGAACATGGCAGGGTTGTCGGTTCCAGAAGAGCTGATCTAAGTATTTCAGAAACTGCTGATCTACTGGGATTTTCACACACAACCGTTTACAGAGAATGGTCCGAAAAAGAGAAAATATCCAGTGAGCGGCAGTTCTGTGGATGAAAATGCTATGTTGATGCCAAAGGTCAGAGGAAAATGGCCAGACTGGTTCAAGCTGATAGAGAGGCAACAGTAACTCAAATAACCGAGGTCTGCAGAAGAGCATCTCTGAACACACACCGTGTTGAACCTTGAAGCAGATGGGCTACAGCAACAGAAGACCACACCTGCTGCCACTCCTGTCAGCTAAGAACACGTAACTGAGGGTACAATTCGCATGAGCTCACTAAAATTGAACAATAGAGGATTGAAAAAATATTGCCTGGTCTGATGAGTCTCAATTTCTGCTGCGACATTCAAATGGTAGGGTCAGAATTTGGTGTAAACAACATGAAAGCATGGATCCATCCTGCCTTGTATGAATGGTTCAGGCTGATGGTGGTGTAATGATGTGGGGTTTATTTTCTTGGCACACATTGGGCCCCTTAGTTCCAATTGAGCACAATTTAAACGCCACAGCCCACCTGAGTATTGTTGCTGACCATGTCCATCCCTTTATGACCAATTCTGATGGCTCCTTCGAACAGGATAATGCACCTTTACAAAGCTCAAATCATCTCAAACTGGTTTCTTGAACATGACAATGAGTTCACTATACTGAAACTGACTCCACAGTCACCAGATCTCAATTCAATAGAGCACCTTTGGGATGCAGTGGTCTCTGAGGAATGTTTCCAGCACCTTTTTTAATCTATGCCATGAAGAATTAAGGCAGTTCTGAAGGCAACGGGGGTTCCAACCCAGTAATAGCAAGGTGTACCTAATAAAGGGGCCGGTGAGTATAATACTAAAATAACACTGGTGTAGATAACCAAAGATATTATATGGGTTTTTTTGTGCAAGTTTTTCAGTCAATATTTATACATAAAATTCCTCTTATACCTTTAGGTCTGCTGGTGAACCTATTTCTAAATTCTTCTTTATTTCATTATTTTATTTTGATGTTTTAAAACCTTTAATGTTTAGACTTTTGTCTTTATTTCTCTTTCTCTTTGTAATGTATAGCACTTTATATAACCTTTGTGTAAAATGTGCTACATAAACCTGCCTTGCCTTATTACTGTTTAACATCATTGCCTGTTTTTGATTTCAGTTTAAAGTCGTGATTCAGTTTATGGAAAAAAAAAAACAGCAATATTTTGTTACAATCCAACTAACTGTGCAATGACGTCATGATTTCCAGACATGCCGCTGCTCGATTTGATTTTTCAGTGGTGAAGCATATGTAATATAATGCCCTAATAACAAATTTGGTTCTTGTTCTGTCTTGCTAATCGATTCCCCAGCATTACTATAGCAGCAGTGAGTAAATGTTGAAGCAACACCAAATCTGTCACTAATAATATTAAAAACATAACATCATCCAAGAAATTTATTGCAAGGCTAAGCAATACAGCTGCTTTATCTTTAAGGCAGTTTCACTAGACTTCAGAGTGGCTACTTTTATAGCTCACCTAAACAGACACTGACATTAAATTACAATTAGCTGGATAATTGAATTATGCAGTAGATTCTGTACAGCTGCTCAGTGGTTACATAATCACACAAGACTTAGTCTAATGTCGCATTTCCGGAAATCTGAAGCACTGACAGAAGAGGTATTTTTAGCAATTGTTAAGCAGTGACCTTGCACAATTATTGAAAGTTACTGATTAAACACATGCAAGTAAACCATAAACAAAAGAAGGAACTGTGTTGTGCTATTTCCCTCCACGTGGTGGAGAGATTGGATTACCATTATGATGCACCATTAGGATGATGTATTGATGGACGTTACTGGACGGACCTCTATTTGGTTGGGGCATTGACAAAATGTGATCTTAAGACATTATTTAGTTATCAAAATTACATTTCAAATGTTTAATTTAATGTTTGATATTTCTAAAAATATATTTTGTATATATAAAATGAAAAAAGCTAGTATCACATATTTGAAAAGCACAACATTTTTCAAATGTTTCAAAATTTAGTGCACACATTTTCTTCCACTTTTTAAATGTTCATAGACAAATAAAGATACAAAAATAAAACAATAAAAAAGCTAGAATCATGTATTTGAAAAAAGCAAATAAAAAAATCAGTGCACAATTTCTTCCACACAGTCTTTTATTTGTAAATAATAAAAATGAACTCTTGAATATAAAACATACACATTATTTGAGCCACGTCTGCTGTACAAACAAGAAATGTTGCAGTGAATACTTTCAATTTTGTTTCAGTGGAACACATGAGCTGTAAACAATCAGTATCCTTGAATAATACTGACAAAGTAAATAAGTCTGCCAAAACCAGGCATATAAAGTAAACTTCTCTTTGAAACGAGGATTCATGAGCATTTATTATAAATCAACAGGGTGGTAGAGGTCCAAATTTCTCTCGTTAGATTGGGCATCACTAAAATAAAACTTTGGAGGCATCCCTTCTTCCGCTCAGCAGAACCAAGAGACAGAGCACTGATCCATTAACTTGAATGGGGCCGCTTTGTAAATATAAGTAAACTTCTTTGCAGACTCATATTTACAATATATGCATGTACGTAAGTGATGTTTACTTGATACACTCTGTTTCAATATCGATATATCTCTAAGTCATTGTGATTTTCATAATTATATTCCATATACATATAGCTCTAGTTTTTATACAGGCTTTCTACCTTAGTTTTAGCCCCACAGTAGTACAGACTACAGTGAACAGCAACATCTTCAATAAAATAGGGCCTTGAGTTTGCTGAGTACTACAATACAGTGCTTATTTATGCATCCAGGGTAAAGAAAAAAAGGGAGGGGGGGGGGGGAGGATTAAAACAATTTAAAAATCTTATAGACATTCAGCCCCAAAACAAGGCCTGTGTGTATGGCTGAACCCGGCCAAATGCCCACACATGGAATGAATGGCTTCGTTTTATTTGATAATCTATTTATATCAAGTACAAGCAAACTGTACAAGTACATGCAACATACAAGCTGGCCTACAGTTTGTGGAACTAACACACTTATTGTAGTCTCTTTTTTACTCATCTGTCTTGTTTTACAAAATGTGCATGCAACTTGGAACAGTTCCAGATGCATGCTGTTCCCCGTGTTGGTGGCGAGCGAGACCACTTCTCACTGTCACATTCAAAATGCTCAGGGGGTGGGGGGGCTGTGAGATTTGTTTTATAATAAACTAAACCCAAATCGATGACAATCAGCTAAAAATAGGAAGCTTACAATTTTGGCCTCTTCTGATTTTTTTCCTTAATATTATCAATCCCCCAAAGCTTAAACTTTTCTCTTGTTTTGTTCAAAAATCAAGCAATTGTGCTCGCATTAAAATAATGTAAACTCTAGTCGGGTAGAAATTCAAATATCGGTATGTACAGGTCCTTTACCAAACGGAATAGAATTCAAAATGCTCTGAAATGCCAGTACGATATGTTTTGTGATTGCAAAGTCGAACGTTTTAGTGAGCAAATGCATGTAGTGAATGTTTCCGGAGTTTCCTGTTAGGGTTGAAGAAACCTAAATTATAGTGGCAGCTTCTTACAGTCCCAGTGAATCAAATACAATTGGTTTTGTGTCTTCCATGAAGCTCGTATGACACAAATGTCAGAAAACATGAAGCATGTTTTCACATTCTACAAAGTGTGCCTATTTACCAAATCAACAGTAACGTGAAAAGGCAAAGCAGTCGGTGGCGACTGCTGTAAACAGACTTAAAAGGTTCTCAGGCATCCCTGCCTTATTAGACGCAAACGCACACTCACACACACACACCGCAGTCACACAATCTGAGTCTGAGTTCGTGCCAGACCGGCACACGGCGGGGTCTCGGATGCAGCATCCGTGAAGCAGAGAGGAAACTCTCTGAGAAGACTAAATCTTGACCTTTAACCCTCGACCTCTGGGGCTTCCTGTAAGTGCAATATAGAGGAGGGGCAGTGCTGTCCTCTCACTCTCGCCAACTCTGAAATGCATACACATGTGAGAAAACAAATACGCTGACTGACCACAACCATCTAGGCTACCGGAACCTGTCAAACGAAGAACGGCTCTGCTTCCTGTCAAACGAAGCGGGGTCGCGTTTCGGGAGCCTCTCCCTTCCTTCTCTTTTTATTTGGGTCGAATCGTCATCTCAGCAACAAAACATGCAGTAAAGGAGCAGAGTGGATCAAAGGAAATCTCTACAACCCAAAGATCAAAAGTAAAAGAGAAGTGATTGTCAGGCTTCAGCAAAGCTTTGATCATGATTCTGTCCATCTGTCTCTTTATCTGCCGCTCCGGTTCTGATTGTTGCCTCGGGTCCTTGGTCCGTGTGTTTTTGTTTCGCATCTCGCTCCTGTCCATTCACTAGGACCTGATGATGCCCGGTGGCCCTGAAGAGTCCAGCGATGACTGGGAAGCACGACGAGCGAGAGGAGCTAAGGTCGGGTCGACCAATGATGAGGGGGGAAACAGTTTGTACCAACCGATCACTGTGCTGGAAAGATCCAGCTCCTCTAAAAGAATCTGTGCGACTCCCATGAAACATTTGTGGTCCATGCGGCCGTAATCTCCCCAGACTATTACCTGAAGACACATTCAGTGGTCAGTACACACTAATGTGGGCTATGGAGGTATACCGAAAACAAACGAATGAAACTCGCTTCCTACCTGGAGGACTTTACCCTGCGGACTTTCCTCAAACAACAGCGCTTGCTGATACAAAGGATCGAGCGTCTTCCGTGCAATCTTGGTTTTCTTTTTGGCTTTGCACGCCCCGTTTTCCAGCAAATAAACCTTGACGTAGGGAGCTGCGAAGAGCAGACATAGTTCAAAAAGGCTTGTTCAAGCATTTATAGTGCCTGGCTGCGGCACGTCATATTAACATTTAGTACAATGTATTAAACTTCAAATTGTCCTGCTGTAATCACTCCATTAAGCTCCTTTAAAAATCATTTCTGTTAGTCCAAAGTACATGTGCTAAATGACTAAAATTGAACTACTAATTAAAGCAACTACAAATACACTATTGTTCAAAAGTCGCTTTTGTAAAAAAGTCTCTTATGATTACCAAGGCTGCATTTGTCTGATCAAAAATACAGAAAAATAGTAATATTGTGAAATATTATTTAAAAATATATACTGTATATTTTAGCATATTTTATCATGTATTCAGTGTCACACGATTCTTCAAAAATTATTCTAATATGCTGATTTGGTGCTCAAGAAACATTTCCTACTGGTATCAATTTAGAAAACAGCTGTCCTGCTTAATATTATTGTGGAAACCACAATTTTTCAGGATTATTTGATGAATGGAAAGTTAAAAAGAACAGCATTTAAATAATTTGAAATAATAATCTTGTAACATTGTAAATGTCTTTACTGTCACCTTTGATCAATTTAATTAATGCATTCTTGTTAAATAAATGTATTCATTTCTTTTAAAAAACCGTACTGACCCCGAACTTTTAGACTGTACCCAATGCTTACATGCAAAAAAGAAATTCTATGTGCTTAACACAGAACAATTTAGTCATGCATGTAAAAATGTTTACACAATGAGTAGGATACACATAATGAATCCCTAATCCCTATGAAAACTAGTTGTGTGTGGGCACACTCTCACCCGGCAGCGATTTGGAACCTGGTTTAGGTGTAAGACCACGGGCCCTGATAACCTCCACCTCCAGCTGCCCTTTCTTATTTGTCAGTCCAATCTGAACATCTCCTACAAAACAAAACCAATTAAAAGAAAAAGCAAATGACGTTTTAAGAAATTACATTTTTCAACGTTTTCCTTTGAAGCAAATCTAACAAAATCTTAGACTTTAGTTTGTATATACTATGCAAAAATATTGACTTACCCATAGCGGGCGTGGCAAGTGTTTGTCTACCCACCAACTGAGCAGGGCCAAGACCGTCCAGGAAATCACTGAACTGGCTGTCAGCCCCTAACCTCATCCCTGAGAAGATCAGACTGACACACACACATGCACCAGTCATCAGATGGATGGATGGATGGATAAAAAGAAGCAATTTAAATTCAGCTTATAGTACATTTCTTGTTATCTTTATGCGTTCTTAAATACTTTGTTGTCATAAATCAATAAAAATCCCAAAATGTATCTTCTGAAACCATTGTAGAGACCAACATGTGAAAACAAACTTCAAACAAGAACATATATAACAATTAGTTTATATGGATGAAATCTACTCCGGCAGAATGAGCCTCCTGCCCTCATATAGCGTTCAAAGGCTGCTGTAATGCAGAGACTGCTTGCGCTGAGCATGGTATGTAAACCCTGTCCTGCGTTAAGGCCCCTCTTAATACACTCAATATTTCCTTTGAGACCAGCGCAATTTCCATGACCTAACTCCTGCAGGAATGTCTGAGGGACGTGCCAGCCCGTGTCGTGCTACCATATGAACGGCTTTATGTGATTTCAGACCATTTAAAACACGTTCAACCTTAAATCATGGGGTTGCTGCTCATTTTGCCGTGTCACACTCTGTTTGTCACGGCGGACAGGCCAACCGACCGAACGCTCTCTGAAGCCGCAAAGGGAATAGTGGCTGGTCTTTTCTGCGCCGCTACAGACCCTGCCAAGGCCCCTCTTCGCAGATGATGGATATTTTAATTATTATAGGGGAGTACTGCTTGCCATCTGGCTCCAAAAATGGAGCTTAGACAGTAGTGGACACAGCATTAGCTCTGTAAATCAGACTGTTCTCTATTAGCTTATCCTTATGGTTTTTCCAAATAAATCTAGATGAGAGAAGCTCATGTGTACATGACACGCAGCCTGTTGAGAGTCCATTTATGTATGAGTGATGGGTTTGCAGCGAATACAAACAAAAAACACCAGAGACAGGACATTTTAAGGAAGAGAGAGCTGGGGAGGAGGTCAACATCGGGTAAAATAGCAGAAATTGGTTACAGTATACATTATAAATGTCTTTACTGTCACTTTTGATCAATTTAATGCATCCTTGCTGTATAAATATATATATATATATATACATTTTTATTAATCTATATAAAAATAAGCCTAAACTTTTGAACGGTAGTAGTTCAATATATCACGATGCATCACAATTTCAGTACCACGTCTCATAAAAGTGGCTCTGACAACACTGAGTAAAGCAAGTTTATGCTATAGATTATACGGTAGGAAATACAATAAATGGACAGACAGACAGACAAGTAGATAGATAGATAGATAGATAGATAGATAGATAGATAGATAGATAGATAGATAGATAGATAGATAGATAGATAGATAGATAGATAGATAGTACCAATGGGAAATTGTGATAAAAATACCCGTGATAGATCGATATATGGCTTATAACAGCGAAAAAAAGAAAAAAGAAGGAGTCAAACTGCACTGGATACTAACTTGCCCTCAGAGCTATAGCTGTTCATGCTGCCGTCAGTGGACTCTCGGCTGGCTTGGCGGGCCATGGCGTTACGGGGATACTCCACTGCCATTCCCGTCTCCTGACTGCGCTGGATCTGACTGGATCCCTTTGTTTTCTTGTTGGCTGCTTCTGTGGATGGGGGGGGAAATGGCATTACTATACACAGGACTGTCATCAGGGGGACAAGGGGGTCCCAATAAGGTCCTTTAATTCACAAACATACTTAAGCAGTACTTGGAAAGAATCTGCAAGAAGAACTAAAATTAAAAATATTAGTGCTGTCAAAAGGTTAAAGGGTAGCACTTTATTGTACAGTCCTGTTCCCCATGTACATACTATACTTATAGTAATTACAATAACTGGGTAAGAACTAGATACTAACCCTGAACCTACCTATAAACCTTAGCCCATGTAGTTACCTTATCACCCAGTACTTTATTAGGTAAGTACACTGTAAGTACACATACTTTAAAATAAAGTGCAACCGTTTAAAATAATTAATCATCAAAATTAAAATCATGTTTTTTTTGTTGTAAAAAAATAAAATAATTATCAATGATTTTGTCGCTGATTTTTGACACTACAAACAAATAAAGCCAGATTCTTTTATGAATTAATGCAGATCTGCTAAACACTAATTTTAAAAGGTCTAGTAGACATTTGATTAGAATTTTATTTACGCATTTACGTGTGTGTGTGTGTGGGGGGGGGGGGGGGGGGCTATTCTTACAGCCGTCAATTAGGAGAAGATATAGTTATTCGCCCTTGGTGTGAGTAACATCTCCTGCTGGACGTCATGGGGCACCATCCTTACTATTTATGGCCTATTTAAGGATATTACAGATCCTTTGAAAATGTCAACCACTGAGGTGGCTCACAGAGCCACTGTCATGCCAGTTGTTTGAGTTAAAAATGTAGCAAAGAGGTTTATCTCTTCACTCATCATGTTCACTTTCATAAAAACACAATCAAGGGCTTATTCTCACAAGACTTACAGAAGAAAGGTCCAGGGACTCTTATTAGCATTCGTTTGCATGGCTCTGACATTATTTGGGAAAACGGAAAAATACTGTCAGAACAGAAATTATCTTATAAATAAAATAAAATACATTTAAAAGTACCTGTATGTTGAGGTTCTTCTAGTCTTTTGGACTTTCTAGAATTGTACCTAACAAATGATCTTAAAGCAGGAGTGTCTAAACTACATGATCTGTGCAGCCTACAAGATATTTTAAAAACAAAAATCTTCACATTATTGTGAAATAAATGAAAGTCAATGTCACTGGCATCATTAGTCATTCTGCAGTTTAAAAGATAAATCATCATTGGCCTATATCACTCCTAAGATAATATTGAAAAAAACAGTGTTGGTTTAAAAAAAATGTTTAACAGATACAGTTTATCAAGTATCCTTTATAAAAAAGGTCCAAATTGTTAACATCAGTTAATGCATTAAGTATCATAAACTAACAATTAACAAGGAACAACCATTTTTACAGTGTTTATTAATCCAGGTTAATGATAATTCAATCAATATTGATCATATACTTTTTACAAAAATGCTGTTCCTTATGTTTTTTTTTGTTTTTCTTTAGGAATCTTTGATGAATAAAGTCCAATCACAGCTTCCCCAAAAATATTAAGCAGCACAACCGGTTTTAACATTGATAATAATAATAAATGTTTCTTGAGCAGCATATTAGAATGATTTCTGAAGAATCATGTGACACTGAAGACTGGAGTAATGATGCTGAAAATTCAGCCTTGCCATCACAGGAATAAATTACATTTTAAAATATATTCAAACAGAATTAGTTTTTTAATAATATTTGACCCCAAATTTTAATCAGTAGAGTAAATATACTGATATATTGTTAATTTATGTTTAATACATTAACTAATCTTAATATACAATGTGAAAATAAATAAATAATAATAATTGTATTAGTATATATACGCATAAATTACTATGAACCACAATTAAATGCTTTAAAAGAATTGTTCATAATACCTAACGCATTAACTCATGTTAACAGATTAAGAAAGTGTTCCCGCAATCATATTTTTAGTTTTGGCTATGGTTGTGAATGGATGAGGCTGGTGCAGTGGACAGAGCGTGGAACAGCTGTTACAAAGCAGCGGAGCTCTTTAAAATGCTGATTTATCGCACCTTTGCAACTCTTTATGATTTATCATCTGATGGTCCTTTTAAGATATTATCCAGGCGTTTGGCAGAGAGCGGTGCCAAAAAAACTTATTTTGCCATCCTTTTAGAATTTGTTTCTTTTTTCAGCAATCCATTTATTAAACTACAAACAGACAGTGCTTAAAATATGGGATTTTAGAGGATATCAGATCCAACTTCAAAGGTTTTTATCTACATTACATCTGATAGGAATCCAGGATTGATCTGCACCTGACAGTGTGAACTCTTGCCAATGATAACATGCTGCCATTCATATTTCTAGCCCGAGGCTTCAGCTCCCACACTTTTAAAGAGACTAAAGACACATGCTACTTTAACCTGTTAACTGTCACCCCCCTTTTTTTTTGCATAGACATAAAAATCACTTTCCAAACTTAAATGGTTGTAATTCAGGAATGCTTTGGAATATAGACCTATGGCTGGTCTTGTTTTAAAGAAGACATTTTCCAGATTATTGTAGAAGTCTAGAAATTATAAAAAATGAAACAGAAAAAAAGTTATATAAGTTTGAGTTTATGAAATTGTGTAATGTAAAAATATAATCATTAATATTTTATATAAAATATATATATTACAAAACATATTTTACTCTAAAACTGCAAGAAAATTAAAGACAAAAATCTGAACAAGTTGTATTCCAAATTTTATGTTGATATCTCAAAAAATGAGCTTTCAGTAAGATTTTATTTGGGCGCAGTACCCAACTTTTTTACTAGGTGAACACCAGACTCCATTACTGCCCATATAAGGGCGCCTCCATTTTCATATACGTTTTGAGTGATCTGAACCATGTATTTCCATAATTTTCATACAATTTATGAAGTAGAAGTAGTATGGGTGGTTTGGCAGTATTTGATTTGAATTCAACCTCTAATAAATGCATAAAAAGACTATGTTATAGCTCGCAGCCGCATCACAAATCGAGAATCCATACATTTTTCTTTATATTTAAAACATTTTCAGACCTTTTTTTCTCATTAAATGGAATTGGTGTTATCTTTTGAACTCATGGCATTAAAACAAACTGAGGTTTCTACCAATCTTTCATGATTTTTCATGTTTATTGTTATTTCAAAATAAAGGCCTAAAAACTCCTAATGAATATGAAATATTCTTGTTGCAAATTGATAAATTACTGCTCCTCTGTAATTTATTTTAGATAACAGCCACCAAATATGAAAACTAGAGATTTTAAGCTTTCAAATGATATATAGTTTGGCAATATTACTTTAGGTTTTTCTAAGATATTATTGTTTTAAACATGCAATGGCAAATGGGCCCGCCGGCGGTTAAGAGGTTAAGAGGTGAACCAAGGTAGAATGAGACCTGATACGTAGATCCCAGAGAAAGAGAGAAGAGAGACAGATAAGAGATAGGCATCTAAGCAAAGCAGGAAGACTGAGGGAAAGACATCCAGCGGTCTTGGCAAATGGATTTAACTGACGGAAAGAGCTTGCTCCTTATAATAAGCCAGTCTTGATTTTGTTAACAATTCCCAAATTTTTTTTTGCTCCTGATGACACTAATGTCATTCTACTAAATATATCCTCATTGTTACTCAGGATAGAAAGCATTTTTTGTCATAATAACTGTTGATTTGCGCTTTTACACCAGTAGAGGGCACCTCAGGCTATGCTAACAGAGCATTTAGAAATGTATCTGTCCTGTATCTCTTCTCTGGTGTTTAAAAGAGTATAAAAGAGTGTTTAAAAGTGACTTTATCAGACTGATATCCAAACAATGAGTTTTATTGGGACAAAAGGCCCTACTATATATGGTACATGAAGCAGCGAGTAACATGTTTTGGATTTAAACTTGCGAGTTTATAAAAAGCAATGCCTGATTTATAATGTGGCTATTCAAGCCATTGTTGCACAGAAAGGATATGATTGGCTGTTAGTGTCTCACCTGTCTGACTGAGCTGAGAGGTGCTTCTGCTGCGGCGTGAGGGAATGCCCACGATGGCGACTACACGGGCGCTAAGGCTGGATCTGCGCTTTTTCCCTCCTCCTCCCAGTGTTCCCAGAGCGGTGTCTGACTGGCTGCCATCCGTACGCTCCAGAGTGTAGATCTCCCCACTAACACTCGTGCTCTTCAACATGCTGCGGCTGGATGGATGAATATGACGGCTGGTGGAGGGAGAAAACATAGCAAAGACTCTCAATAACTCAAATCACAAATGGAAAATCACTATGTCAAAGTGACCCTCTGTGTTTGATTATTCTTTCTGAGTTTACCGAAAAGCATAAAAATCTGAGAATGACGTGATCATGGAAAAGATTGCCGTGAACATCTTAAAGGGATAAATAATTGAAAACAGGATTTTTTTTATATATAAAAGAGTTTGATTTACAATGAACATTACAATTCAAAAGTTTGAGGTCGATTTTTTAAAATGTGTTTGCAAGTCTCTTATGATCAAGGATGCATTTATTTTATTAAAATACAGTTAAACATTAGTATTGTAAAATGTTATCATTACAATTTAAAATAACTGTTTTCTATTTTAATATTTTAAAATTGGAATTTATTCCTGTGATGGAATTTTCAGCAGCCATTCTTCCAGTCTTCAGTGTCATTTCTGTGGAACTACGTCGTGTCTCTGGCTATTTTAACATGATCCTTCAGAAATCATTCTAATATGCTGATTTGGTGCTCGAGAAACATTTCTTAATATTATTAATGTTGAAAACAGTTGTACTGATTAATATCTTTGGAAAACATTTTCTTTTCAGGATTCTTTGAAGAATAGAAAGTTCAAGTGAACCAGATTTATTTTAAATAGAAATATTTTGGAACATTATAAATGTCTTCACTGTCACATTTGATCAATTTAATGCATCCTTGAACCCAAACCTTTAAACGCAAGTGTTTAAATGTGTACAACATAAATGTATGGAAACTAAACAACAAAAACAGGTTACCATTGTAGCATGTAAATTAACTATTGACTGCTACACAAACATTTATTCAGTAATTCATAACTTCTTCAAGAGAACAAAAATGTTATAAATGTGTAGAATATGGCCCCTTAATGTAGAAAAAGAAGGCGCTGTAAAGATTCACAGCTGCTTTTATAATAATCTCTCCTCAAGAGATATATAAGAAATGTATGAACAAATATAAAAAAAAAATAAAAAAAAAAAAAAATAAATGACATTCCAATTACAATATTGATCTCTAACAAGTATAATCACAAACGAGTTGTCAAAATGTTACAGAAATTGTCAGACCTAATGCAACAGTCCCTTATGATTATAACTATGCATCTCACCTAATGCGACCCCTGGGTCGTTCTGATTGAATGGACATGTAGCTGGTGCTACTGATCCGCGAGGCACTGCTGGCGCGAGAGATGGCTGACACGTCACTGACATCACTGTCTGAGGACTTATGGGACACATTGTCAGAGCTTCGTCGCTGCTCCTTATAAAGCTAGTGGAATGAAATGCACAAAAGAATGAAAGCGCATATACATTCTGAACATTCTAGATTTTTCAGTTTGAAAGAGTTGGAATGGGATTACACACTACCGTTCAAAAGTTTGGGGTCAGCATAAGATATTTTCTAATACTTTTATTCGGCATTGAATTGATCAATAGTGACAGTAAAGATATTTATAATGTTACAAAAGATTTACAATTCAAATAAATATTGTTCTTTTGAACTTTATATTCATCTAAGACTGTTTGATGGTTTAAACAAAAACATAAAGCAGGAAAAACAGTTTTCAACATTGATAATAAATGTAAGTACTAAATCAGCATATTAGAATGACTTCTGAAAGATCATGTGACACTGAAGGAGAAAGTGATGGCTGCTGAAAATTCAGCTTTGCAATCACAGGAATAAATTCAATTTTAATTCGAAATTCATCCCCAAACTTTTTAACAGTTTGTGTATATGAAAATGAAGTCCAATCCGAGAGAGCAGAACGGCGCTCACCTCTCTTTTATTCTTGAGCGCCTTCTCCAGATCCTGGCTGGTACTGGAGGGAGCTGCTGTTCGGAAGGTGCGCACTTTCATTTGCCGTGTTCGCTCCTCTGAAGCAAGAGCTAATACATACATGATAAAAAAATATGATTAACATGATATTTTCATATTTCGCATATTTATTCAACAAACATTTGGAAAAGTAACCAGTGCAAGTCAGTGGACAATGACTGTACCTTGCTCTACACTGCTGCTTTTAGCGGGAACTTGGGGAAGCTGTCTGACCTTTCGTGTCGAAGAAGAGTCCGCTGTTGATGAGGAGAATGTGGGCCGGGAGTTCGGCTGCTCCCTGATGGAGAGAGAGAGAGAGAGAAAGAGAGAAAATTGTGCTTATTTTATCAAGTACATAGGCCATACCGCCAACCAGCGTGGACCAAAATGTACATCTGATAAACGCACAGTATCAAGAAGTACACATTTTCACGAACAGAGCGATCCTTACCGGAGCAATATCTGCATGATAAGGTAACATAACATTATTGATCACATCTGATCTGTATTATAGCTAAGAGCCATAAGGAAAGCAAAACAAGTACAAGAGTAGAGGGTGTAAAACTGGTGGGGGAAAAAAGCGGTAAATGTGAAAGATAACATTGTTGTTATGCACAAGGCAACAAACAGAAAGCTGTGGGTAGGTGATGAGGACAGGTGGATTTTCAGTATAAAAGCAGCAACCACACAAAACATTTAAGAGAAGAGAGCAAAGACAAAGCTTAAAGTCTTAATTGTAGGATGGGTTGAGCACAGCAAGGCTTCTCAGCCCAGATCAGGGTCAGCACCTTTCCATTTGGGGTGAGCCTGTGGTTGACCCCCGCACGGGTCACCTTACCCAATGGAGGCAGTGATACCCTCTTCCTGCGTGAGCCCTTTAGAATGGAGGTTGGCCTAATGCTGCAAGCCAGTGAGAATAGCAACATACCAGACAGAATGATAAAGGAAAAATCAAATCAATGTGACAAATCATAGAAAAAAAATAAAACAACCAAATGGAGAAAAAGCCAAAAAATGATTTGCAAAAACAGAGAGAGAAATAGTGTGAATGTGTGAAAAATAAATATGTTTGTGGATGAAGCCAGATCAGCACTTCCCTGTAAAAGTTCAACAACTGAAAAATATACACCATTTAATATATAGAATAATATACTAATAACAGGGTCCAAATTTAACATAGGTGGGTGATTTGAGAAAATGTTCTGGCAATGAATTATTTTTTATTAAAAATATATTTATGATTTTTGTATATTTTTTTGTCATTTAAAATGAATTGACGAATTCAATGAAATCATTTTTTTAACGGGAAGTAAGATTATCTATGATTTGATTAACTTAAATCACTTTTATGACATTTATATTATTTTAATATCATTGCTTTTGCCATTTCAACTGAAACATTTTATTTTATTCACATATTGTAAGAGAACTGGTGAGTAAATCTTATTAACCATTTTATTCACTCACCAAAATACTTTGGCAATATTTAAATTTTGGCTCTGATATAAAATATAGAAATGGTCAGAAACAGATGAACAAAAGCATATTGGAAAAACAAAAACATAATTTAAAGTCCCCCTGTAGTCAATAATTGTATCCCTTAACACTAATTTTTGATCACCAAAATAAAAAAAAAATTCCTTGAAAAAGAAATCTTCATGCCTTAAAATAACTTGAATGTCACTCTACACTCTTGCCTCATTTAGTATACGCGGTTCAATTAATATGCAAATTAGCCCCGGCTCCACTCACACCAGCTCAGAGATCCACTTGTTGACGATCACACGTTGACGTGATTGGTAACAAAGTAGTTTGTGACGTCAGAAACCCCAACTATTTCAAACCGCGATTTTAAGACTGTCTTTGGTTCACTGCCGTTTTAAGGAGAAAATACTCAGCAATGGTGCTGACTTATGAATTTGCACATGGTTTGTCTTAAAGCATATTAAAAACACCACATAGACATATAAACAACATTAAAAGCTTGATTTTCACCACAGGGGGACTCTAACAAAAACCCAATCTAGAAGCTTTATCCAGTGTGAAATGAATAAGTGTGTACTAAACAGGTTCTGTACATACAGGACTTCAACAATCAACAGGCAATGCAAATGTGACATGATGTGACATGGTTTGATAAGTCTTACCGCTCGCTGTCAGATATTTTCTTGCCAAGTTTCTGACAGCTAGGCTTGTCCAGAGTTCTCGACTGCCTGCAACATGGAAATGATCGAGGCGAGACAGAAAACAAAAGAATGCGGAGTGGATTTACTCAGGACTGGACGGACAGTAAATGAAACTGCTGTCTAATAAAATGCCTCGATGGAGATGGACATGTTATTGGTATATGTGCTCTAGAGCTCTTCCTGTGGGTGTGTACCTCTGTGCGTCTGGCTTTGCACTAAGGTGGTGTACTGTCTCCTGAGCGGGGAACATAGCCTCCAAAACCCAGCTGATTCATAAGATCAGGTCAAACACATGTGAGTGGCATGGATACAGACACACAGACACACAATGACACAGTATGGACTGATGTTAATAACAAAATAATAATTTCATTAGGGCTAAATCATGTCACTTTGGTTTAGTGGCTATTCACTAAAGGAAATTATACAATAACGTGTACAGATAGACAAATACACAAGACACACTGTGTATGATATGGAGCAGCACAGACAACTGACTGATGACATATGTGACTTTATATACCCGAAGAATTTAAAACAAAAAATGAAATCATTACAATTTCAGATGAATCTAGAGAAAAATAAAGATACAAGCAGTGCCCCCAAAATGAATTTGGACACTTAAAATGTCTGAATATCACAGTAAAATACCAAAACCGATTTGAATCTGCAAACAAATTACTCTTTTATAATCTGAAAACTAACTTTTTTGTGTGAAAGGTTTTGCCTGAAAAGTGTGCTTGTGGTATTTTTTTGTTTAAAATAAATCTCACTTGGTTTAAATTTTGTTGCAATGTTATTTGTGCATTTTATGTCAACATACTTTTCAGGGCCACTGTAATGTATGAAAATGTATAAAAAACTGTTGGAAAAATCAGTAGAAAAACTGTAGAAGATAACAAGGGAATAGACTATAGTCTGTGGAAAGAGTTTAGATAAAAAGGACTAAATACAACCTCATGAAATCCAGAGTAATCGCAACACACAGTACATCACACCACAAAAGCCACATTTTTAAAGCTGAAAAACTACAAAACACACTGACGATCACATTATAGAGCACTAAAATCATGGGGCTGCTGGGTAACAACAAGCTATAGGTCAGAAGCTACAGGAGGTTGGAGGGTTAGCTAGCACATCCACTATCTAGTCCCATGGCACGGAGGGGACGGACAGGTTAGAAGAGCAGAGAGGTTTAGCAATAGGACTGGAGGACAGGAGGGATACCTGTCGTCTTCTGGGGAGGCATGCTGAATTAGGATCCTTGGGCTCATGGGTCTGGTACGGGGCAGAGACTGGGTGCTCCTGCGTGAGTGTGTGCGTGTGTGATCCACAAACACCCAAAGAGTACAAAGTGGAGATGGAAGAAACACGGGAGGTCAATATAGAGACTGTGACAACGGTCATCTCAAACACACAAGAAGATGTACAGATTCAGGGGACTCATATTTGACACTTCTTCAGCTACTGTGGTTAGATAAAAACTCCCTATCAAAGACGCAAAACAGAGCCGTCAGGCCATAAGAGTCACTGGACACTAACAGAGCAGTGCATAGTGGGTGACCCAACAGTGGTATGTTACTTTGACATTAACATAGACATGCTGGGTCTTATTCACTAACAATCGCACATAAGTGTTCTTATTTTACAGTATGTGCACAGTAAAAAGAAATATTTCTAAAGCTTATTAATTTAGATTAATCAAAATGAGTGAGTGTTTGCTAGCAGTTAGTTAGCATCGGCTTTCTTCACAGTCTCCCTCCAACATTGATAATAAGAAATTATTCTAGAGCAGCAAATCAGCATATTAGATTTATTTCTGAAGGATCATAGGACACTGAAGACAGGAGTAAATGGCTGCTGAAAATTCAGCTTTGGCCTCATAGGAATAAATTACATTTCAAAAGATATTAAAAAAAAAAAAAAAGTCAAAGAGAGTTTAAATTATAATAACATTTGTAGAACATTACTGTTTTAACTGTATATTTAATCAAACAAATGCAGCCTTGGTGAGCATAAGAGACTTACAAAAACATTAATTGAACCCACCCCAAACCTTTATATTCAAAAACATTTTACTTTTTACATTTAAAATTTTACGTTTCTAATGCAAGGATTTGTAGGTGTGGTTCTAAATTCATCCTAAATTTTAATCTTCCCAAAATTATGATTTCTGTTTGCGCTCAAGTTTTATGTAAAACAATGTTTGTGTGTGTGCACATTAGTGAATGAGACCCAGTGATTGTTGTGTTCAAAGGGCATCACAAAGGAACATTATAAGAGTGTCCTTTAATGTCTGTGAATGATATTAATGACAAATTCAACAAAATTAGAATCATCCGATTCAAAATAAAGAGTGTACCTGTCTCGTTCAGGTGAATTGGAATTAGAACCTGGTCTCAGACAGTTGGTACTAGCACTTCTAAGCCTGTCAAGAGAGGGCTGTAGATCACTAGGGTCACAACATGCCATCCAATGGAGAAAGGAGAAGGAAAAAAGAGAATAGGAAGATGACAAAGAACAAAAACATTAGGTCCAAAATAAAATGAAAAGCAAACCTGTAAGGGGAGGAAGTCAAGAGAGCTGCTATAATGTGGTGTGTGAGATAATGGTTGAATTTCCTAATGTTTTGGATGAGGAGCTGCTGGCTCTTGGGAGCTGTTGGATGTTTGATGTTGTTGTTGTTGTTTTTTATCTAATGGGGTTGAGGGTTGACATTTTCGACCCCTTACCTAATGGTGATCTTGTCTGTGAACCTAAGAACTTGGCGTTGTGTGGCAGTGACTACAGACAGCCGTGACTTTGACTTAAGGCATGCAGGAAGTGTTGAGCTGAACACAAACGAAAGTCAAACAAGTGCAAACAAAAGCAGTCACAAGTTACAGAAAAAAAAACAGTAAAGAACAAAACACAACAACCAAAAATAACATTATAAAGTCACATGACCAACTTATCTGTGGATTACAGCAACAAAGAAACACGTTCAAAGTTTAACACTGTGTCCCAACATTGGGAATGCGGATGCTAACGGATATCTTTCTCCAGGGCCTACTTGGTTTGGACAGACAAATTGCTTATTGCGGTGAAACATGTCCCATTGCGCTGGGTTAGGACACAGCATAAGATGTTTACAGCTAACGGTGATTTACTGTCTCTTAAAATAAACAATATCCACAGAAACCAAAACACCACAGTTAGACAGAAAGCACTCACATTTACCAGTGGCAGATTCCCATAAGATTGTCTGTATTTCAATCTCCAATTAAAATACTACAATAGCTCTCTATGTGTTTGCATATGCTGAAGATGGTGAAAATAGACATTTTATGTCTATGGTGTATTTAAATAGGACTGAAGTACATCTTTATATGTAATTTCATAGTTACTTCTATTGTTTTTGAAATGTGGTTAAAGTGTGCCGCCGAATGTATTGACAAGCATTTATGGTCAACTTTCATTCCTACTGAAACTTGTCTGTCATGCATTTAAACGTAATTTGTGATTTATATAAATTTTGCTTATATTTGAATTTGTAATATCTACTATATATATATCTATATATATATATACACACATGTACAATAGATTATTAAAACAATGATTTAAATAAACTTTTAATCTGACATTATTATTATACTTTTTTTTTTTAAAGAAAATGTAAAAGGTGTACTTAAGTGTGTCATGAATGTGTACTCCATTTAAGTACAGTGGCATTTTATTTCATTATTATATGATCTGCAAGAACATTTTTTTAAAGTATAAGATTTGAAGTACAGTACAAATGCACATTCAATAGAAATAAGTGCACTTTTTCACAAGAGCCAACAATATTACCAATATTAAAGTAAATGTACAACATTGTCATGAACATCCAGTTTAATGGTTTTGTTAAATGATAAATGTGTCAAACTTTGACAATAATCAAAAATATATGCATCAGCATACTGCATATTGTATTAGCTGATCCATAATAACAAGTAATAAGTGCTCTGGAGTTTGAGGTTCACTATAAAACTATGCTATAAAATACTAATTAATCAGAAAGGATGGCTCCAGAGTTCAGTTTTGGCTGCCTTACCTGTAAATATCCTTATGAATTCCATTGACTAATAAAGGCATCTTAGGAGGCAGAGTGTTACTGTACTTAGATGAACTCCTGGCAACATTACATTAACATGCAAGCATGCAAAAGGGAAACAAAAGATGTATCAACATCAGAGCTGTGGTTAGTCCACTCAAATAGCAAAAGAATGTCAAAAGTCACTCGAGCAAACATGCAAAGATCACTCCAGGGGCAACTCGCTCATTCTAGATCATCATTTTTCCCCGCGCTCATAATCAAGGTCAGTGACAAGCGGAATAAAAATAAACGTGTCAAAATAACACTTGAGCAGAATAAGATAGTTATTTTGAGAAAGCAGACGGTTGTCGTGACGAGGTATTCGTCTTTTAGGCTGTAAGCCAAAAGCAAGTGGAAAGTTCCGCTTGTAATGTTTCTTGTCAACTAGATGCTCTGAAATATTAGAGTTGAGAGGCGAAGAGCTTGACAAGAAGCGTTCGAGGGAGAGAAACTGGCATCAACTCTCAGTTCTGTTTTAATTAAATGGAATAAACTTCAGGCTAGGCGAACGAACAGATGAAACAGATACGAGGAGTCTTTCCAAAATGAAAATGATATTACCAGTGCTTATGACACCAAGATAGTGATATTGATTCACATAGTAATCTGAATACAACAATAATATAATTCACAGATTGGTGATTCGATTCTGGACTTTTCTTTACCTTTGGGTGTGCAGACACTCTGCGCTTCTACCCCGCATTGATCTGTGTATCAAGATGACCTCACTGCAATTACCATGGAGATGGATGACACAGGAAAATAAACAAAACAGACCAATAAAAAAAGCAAACATAAAGGAAAAAATGGGCACCAGTAAGTGATTTAGAAGAGGACCAGTAACAATCCTTAAAGCCAGTACAATACAAAGTCTTTCTGTACGATCATCTCTGTCCATACAAACCCTTCAATGGTGCTCAATCTTTTCAAAAACAAACCTTTCGTGAATCATTCAATCACATGTGTTTTGGCTATAACCCACCTTCTGAAAATGGAGACCTTTGTAGATAAGCACAATTTCTCTTCCCAAAAACAAAATTTGAATGGCATTCCAGAAACAGTATTTTAATGGAAGAAAATGAAGGCACGTGGAAGTGATTTTTTTAACACACACTATGGCACACTTATACACACTTGCTTGGACGCACACGTTTCTATTTACCTGTCGTCCACGTACTCTCTCTCTTGCACACGTGTACGGTCATGGTAGCGTGTTGGGGAACGGGATCGCCGGGTGTGCTGAACCTCATCCAGACTCCTTAGAGAAAAAGATGTGCCCCTTTTAATGCAGGTTGCAATTATTTACTACATGATAAATCCTAAATAGGTTGGGACATACCTCTGTGTGGGGACGTTGGGAGGGCGGGACCGCCCTCTGCTTTCTTCGTCTCTGTGTGGAGACACGGACCTTGAGCGATACTGAGTTGGCCTCTGCTGATCAGGAACCTCTAAAGTCGTTGCTCGATCTCTGTCTCTGTCCCTTTCTCTTTCTCTTGATCGGTTTTCTGTAGCTGTGATCATACACACACACCAAAAAAAATGTAAATAACATTTTTTAAAGCCTGTCTGGAAAATTCAGATGCACTGCTTATGCAGTCATTGGCTTTAACAAACCACATTCCCCATGTTAGAACCCATCCAAAAATAAAAGGATTGACATAATATGTTAGATCATATCTAACAAAACATGCCAGACAATTAAAATACCTTGTTCATTCTCCTTTTTCTTGACCAATGTCTGCTTTAGACAGCTGGAATCACCATTTGAGTTCTACATTATATTCAATTTATTTATTTTTCTATTTTTGGTTATTTAAAAATCTGTTTTCTACAATGAAATGTTTATGTATTTTTACAACACACCAAGTATTAAAATCATAAATACATTTTTTAAATAATGTACCTTTTTATTATTTAGCAAAGCAATGAACACTGAAATCTGAATATATTATATTTATATATATATATATATATATAAATGTTGTATATATTTATATATATAATATATTTTATATATCAATTAATATATTATATTTTTATTTTATGTTGTATATTTATATATATAATATTTTTGATATATTAATTAATATATTATATATTTTTTTGTTTTTCTAATAAAACCGTTTAACATAACTATTATAAATATGATATATTATATTATAATAACTACTTTTTAAGTCACAATGAATAACAAAAAAAGTAAATGCAAAATTCCAAGGTGAGCATGATGAAAAAAGAAGAAAAAGAAGAAGAAAAAAAGAAAAATGATAACCACTGCCCTAAGACAACATCCACTATTCTCACAATTGCACAAACATATGCCTAATGGTTTGGAGAATGAAGTAAAGGTATCTCACAAAGGGAGTGTTCCACAAAACCGTGTCATTTTCTAACTTCTACCATGCAGAGGCAAAATAAAAGGTTGAGCACTACTGAGAGGAAGCAGTCCTCCCGTTCCCAAATTATCCCTCATCACCTTCCCCATTGTGATCATGCATGTGTTATAGTGTGCGTTATGCTGCAGGTCCACACTACTATACTACAGAGAAAAGTACTGGAGACAGAACACCCCGGAAAGTCAATGTCTATAAACACGTTCTCCCAATATACAAAAAGCACCACTTTTATGTTTTAAGCACTTTATAGTAACAACTCAGTTATTGTATTAGGATGGGATGAATGAAACATGCCAGATGTGTAATGTCGGTGATTGGTGCCTTGTCTCCAGCACAACAGCGGTGACTTCCAAAGGAAGGGAAGACCTGCTATTGGATGCTTTTATCTTTTGGGGTACTCTAATTCACAAAGCACAAAGAAGTGCCAAGGTAGCGAATGCCTTGGCCCCTCCCACCCACCTGTGGCGACTACACCAATAGCATCATCATAATCAGTTTCTGTAATACGCTGCGAGCCTGCACAGACAGATACAGATATACACAGGGATAGATGTACAGACAGACACGAGATAAAGACGTAAACGAATGCACACAAAGCACTGTTGGAATAAGCCATGGTTAGGAAAGCAAAGGTATACAGAAATAACCTAGCATACTAAAATATGTCCTGTGGACATACTGTACCCATGGGCCACACACTCCTACATACTAACTCACATGCAGCACGGTTCAAAAACATAACGCACAGACAAAACAGACATAAAAAAGTGCAACACAAAGCCAAACATATTAATCAGACTGGATGAATTCCAGGAACTTGAGCTAAAAGATATGTTGATGTTTAACTAATATTTAATGATTTTCCTTCACCTACTTAAAGTATAGTGCATTTCGTTTTGTAAATTATGATAATTTCTCTGGTTTGACATATCATCTTGGAAAGTAAAGGCAAACTTCATCTATTTTAATCGAACTGCCCACATACTCTTCAGCTTTCTGTAATTCTGTGAAACACTGAGGGGGCGAATTCACTAAACGATTGTGGCACTCAATTGAGCAGTATTTTAGTATTTCAGTATATACCACTCACAATTAAGCAGAATGTACACTACTGTTCAGTCCTGAAAAAATGTATCACAGTTCCCACCAAAATTTTAACTGTTTTTAACATAAATGTTTCTTGAGCAGCAAATCATGATTGATTTTGAAGGATCATGTGACACTGAAGATTGCAGCAATGGCTGCTGAAAATTCAGCTTTGCTATCACAAGAATAAATTAGATTTTAAAATATATTAAAATAGAAAATAGTTATTTTAAAAATTGCTGTTTTTACTGTATTTGTGGTCAAATAAATGAGCATAAGATCTTTCCAAAACTTACAAAAATCTCATTGACCCCAAACCTTTGTATAATACTGTATACAAACTGATGTAGCACAAGTCAATGTCATTCGTTTTTGGGCAAACACATGATGTTTTATAAACAAAGTTCGGGAGGAGCACGTTCAAATAATCATTCCAATCAACTGGTCATCAAACAATTACCATGTCTACCCTATCAGCACGAGAAGGAGCATATAAATATTCACTCTGTCAACTCACCTAACATTCCTTGACAGTTTCAGCATCCCTCCACCACCCCGACTCCTCACTCTTGGCTTATCTTATTTATTTATTTCACAGCCAGGAATACGGGGGGAGTGCTCTGGGTTCGGGCCGAATACCTAACTCGGAGCCCTCTCCTCGGACAGCACGCCAAATACGCATTTATTCTATCTGACTTATTTGTAAGTGTGAACTCGTGAAACCTGCTTTCTATGCAAATTATGCTAATTACAGGGGCCAGTCACCGTTGAACTATTACCATTCATGGAAAACTTGTGGTACAACTGTTTGTGCTCACTGTAATTGATCCAATTTATGATCACATGATGGAGAAGTGTGTTATAATTGGGTACATATCCAGTTATTGGGTCCTAAAACTACGCAGACGGTGCTGGCAAATAAACAGTGGCATCAATGGTAGCAAGTAACTGAATTTATTCTTAGCAAATTCCTCCCTTTTAGAGAATAAGCACTTAAACACAATGTGATTTACTATGTAAACACTTTCAGATTACACCCCCACCAGCGTGGCCTTCTACTTACGCTGCAGCTTTTTGGTGGGTGTTTCTGTTTGGCCGTGTCTGCGGGGCAGGTATGGCGACGGGTGCGGCAGTGGGATGGAAGAGACGTCATGTGCCTGCAGCTTGTACCAGTGAGGCTTGTCATCCAGCAGGGCAGTCTCCAGCTCGATCAGGATCTAGGTTCACAGACAGTCAGGTGAAATACTGTGTTGTGAATTCATGTTGTGAATAAATGGACAAGGATAACATATGCTTCGTACCTCTCCTAGAAAGTCACTCTCCTCCTCTTGTATTCTGGGTTGGTCCCATACAGTAATCTCTAGCATGTGCTCCCTGAAATCCCGGCGATGGACATGAGAGTACACAAACGTCTGGTTCCACTTGGGTTCCAGACTTTTCTTTACTGTTTTCGTTCTTCTCTTGCTCTTATCACTAAAGTAAAACAAATATACAGATCAAACAAAAAAATGAGAACATTAAAACTCAACTAAATCAATTCATAAATGCATAGATTTTTTGGAAAATTGGTTATTTAGTGGTTGATCTACACTACCATTCAAAAGTTTGGGGTCGGTAAAACTTTGTCACGTTTCTCTTATGCTCACCAAGGCTGCATTTATTTGATCAAATACACCTTTTTGAAAAACAGTAATATTGTGAAATATTATTGTAATTGAAAATTCTATTTGAATATATTTTAAAATGTGATTTATTCTATTAATGTTTAACCTAAATATGCTGATTTGCTGCTCAATAAATATTTATTATTATATTATTAATATAAACAGTTCTGCTGCTTAATATTTAGCAGAAACCATGAATAGAATGATGAATAGAAAGTTAGATTTAATGCAACCTTGCTAAATATACATATTTTCCAAAATCTTTCTGACCACAAACATTTGAACGGTAGTGAATAGTCCTTGTAGTCAATACAATAACAAATTTCTTGATACCAAAATTGACACCACAAGAAAAATCTAATATGCTAATGTACAACTATGAATACCTTCTATCGGGCAGGAAGTACATTTTGACATAGGGGTTTCTGGGTCGTCCATCCGATCTGGGCGCCAGGTCTATAGCCTGCAATACGTTCACTATCAGCTGATGGCCAACCTTGTCATACCACATTTTCACCTGCAAGACAAATACATACACGGCTAATAAGCAAAAAATCTTAGGGTGAATTGATCAATGGTGAATTGCCCTTGTTTTCTTCAGTATTTACTGACCGACAGCTGTCCAGGCAGTAGCTGAGGGGCATCTCTAAGACCCCTTGGGCTGGATGGGGACAGGACAGATATAGAGGGTCTTTCCATCTTCTGTGATTCGAAGGAACTTGAACCTGCTGCAGAGGGACAAGGAAAAAACAAGTGCCGCTAAGATCACAATAATGTTTTATATATATATATATATATATAAATATTTAAGAGTTCACATTTGATCAGATTCTTGATTCATTTGATTCAGTACGTACTAGATTCTAATGGAGGATGTGATGTTTCTGGTATTCGTGGTATATCACTTAAAGAGAGAGATCACATATCCATACATTAGTTGTCAACATTAAAACAAGGCACACAGATTTTTTTCACAACGGCTGCATTTATTTGATTAAAATACAGTAAAAAGATAAATAAATATTACAATTTAAAATAACTTTTTTCTACTTAAATACATTTTAGAATGTAATTTATTTTTTTCAGCAGTCATTACTCCAGTCTTCAGTGTCACATGATTTGGTGCTTAAGAAACTTTTTTTTTCTTACCAATGTTGAAAACAATTGAGCTGCTAAATCATTTTTGTGTTATAATTTTCTTTATGATTAATATAAAGTTTAAAAGGAAAAAAATTGTTTTAAATAGAAATCATTTGTAATATTACAAATGTACTTAATGTCACTTTTGATCAATTTAATGAATCCTTGCTACTTTAAATAAAAGTATTAATTTCTTTCAAAAATATAATCTTACTGACCCTAAAGTGTGGCATTTATTTTAAAGCAATATAGTACAAACATGCATTTAATGTTTGTTTAATTTCAAATTATAAACCATTAACTGTTCAAAATATATTATTGACAAGTTCATTTTCAGAAAAGCTCTAGCATCATTTGTTTAGAAGGCATTTTGAAGTGTGACATAAGTGTCCAAATACTCTGTACACGGTGAAATCTGGTTTCTAGTCAAACATCATCAGCCAGAGGTTATGTACAGAGGACAGAAGGGAGGTGTGTACGATACATCACAAGTTCATTCTTAGGGATTTAAAAAAAATAAAAAATAAAAAAAAGCTGACAGAAGCAAATGAGTAGGGAATTCAGAGATGAGCTCCTAAAATCACCTCTTAGACTTTGTTTTACTGGCTGCTTAGATTTATACACCCATTGCAAGAGTTTGGAGAGAAATCAATGAATACATCTTTTTAATGAGGTAGGAGGACAGAGCAGAAGAGAATATAATGGTTCAAAGTGAAAACTAAACACAATACAGACTATTCAAACACTCTTATTTAGTGATTTGACTTTGTCTGGACTATAATAAAATGAGGTGCTTTGCCGTTTGTTACCCAAGAGTCAGATACCCAGTAAGGCATGTGATGGACGACTTACCCAATTGGCCTTGATACTATTAATTCAACTTTTGGTTCTGTTTGGGAATTCAAGATGATATTGTAAACTTCTTTCTTGGTTAATCCTGGTAATGATTTACCATTCCACTGAAGCACTTCATCACCTGCAAACAGCCAAAATGTGTGTTGTCGCATTAAATTCCTGTACACATTTGAGAACATCCACAGTTACATTCTTAAAATAGATTTTACTGATTAAACACACTCATTGAACATTTTCAAAATATCTGAGGACTAAATACATTATTGAGTTCAATTAAAATAAGGACTGTAAATTAAATGTGTTATTTTAGCACACGCCCCCTGACCCCAGGGTCCTGCACGGGTCGTGTTTGATAAACCCGCACCCGCAGTACTTAACAGAATATCTAACTTAATTCCGTACCCGAACCCGTTTGACAAAGACCGCAACCTGAACCGCACATCATTGTGAACAATCTGCCCATACAGGTTATTTGGACCAAATGTGTATAAATAGGCTATACTGATGCTTAGAGGTCTAGCCAAATATGAGCCATTATTGTCATATAATATCGGGGATATTTTAGCGGATTCACTCTGCATTTAAATGCAGTTGTCTCTACTGAAACTCTGCAGTGAATATGTGGCCGTTGGTCCTCTAAGGCTAAGCAGCATGAAAAATACAACTTTTATTCAAATTGTGAATAGATTATATACAGAAAGCTCGAAAAGAGCACTCCCTTAATGACTGAAGCTGTCAATCACTTAAGTTGCACGCTGCAAATCGTGTTGTAATTAGAAACCCGACAGTCTTCAGACTACAGAGGTTGAACACAAATAAGCACAGGACCCGCAGTCCGCCCGTGCCAATTGATTCCCGACCTGCACCCACACCGCATATGACAATGTAAATATTATTCCACCTGTTACATCGAATATTAGCGGTTCACCCGTCGGGTACCCACCTGCGTGTAGGACTCTGCCCTGACCTGCTGGTAAAGTCAATTAAATCCGAAATTTTCAAACCATCAAAGCAATTTAAGCTTGTAATACAACCTCATCTTTTTAGAAAAGAATGCAGACAATATGGAAATAATATACTACTGACTTCTAAAGACACTTTTTGTCTATGTGTACTCATCTACAACAATAATTGAATGTCTTTGAATCATCTTCATTTGGGGGCTTTTCTTTGCAAATATTGATATATACCAGTGGTTCTCAATCTTTTTGACTCCAAGGACCCCCAGCTTTAGTTTTGTTTTAAAAACGGGCACCCCTAGCTTCTGTACATAAAGTAACTAAAATAATTATAATTAAAAGTTAAATTTCAGGATTCTAAGTTTTACAGTAGGAGCTGATTGTTCTTCAGGTTTCCCACTCTTTTTAACTGTTGAATTTACATGATTCTTCAGTCATTTGTGATTCACTGGATAAGTATTTTTATTTCTATTTTTAAAAATATTTGCACTCACAATTTCCACGAGATCAAATATTTTAGAGCTTGACATATCTACAAAATGTATATTTTTTTATAAAAAAAATGTCAATGATGTATTAAGATTTTATTACATTTATCAGACTTTTTAAGTCACAGTTTTAAATGATTTGATGTTAATAAAATAACATCATGTTAATGTTTTAACTTATTTTAAATCTTATTTTAAATAATTTTAAGTCATATTAAGGCCCTCTTAGAAGTTTTGAGAACCACTGATATACGCATTTATGTGTGATTCATATGCTTAATGTTGTAATCGGTGTATGATCATAATTTAATTGCATTGTTTACTCAATTGACAGGCTGACAGCTCTTGTTCTTTAAGCTTCAAACTGAGAGAAGAGCTGGACTCACCGGCCCTTAGATGACCAACCACATCAGCTAGACTTCCTTTCTTGACTTTGGTGATGAAGGCCCCAAGTCTCCCAGTTTCTGTAATCTTCCCCCCGACCACCTGTACCGATACAAATCAATTAAAGATGGGTAAAGTCTACAGAGAAGTAATAAATGCAAAAACATGTATTGCAGATATCCTGTATTTTGAGTTTTTGTACATGGTTCATGACATGTAGATGTTGACTTCATTACAGTGAGGAGAGGAACTTTATACAGTATGTTTAGTTCTCGCCTCACCTTTAGCCCAAGCAGAGCCCCAGCCTCTTTTGGCATGGCTGTTCGCTTACTCAAAGTGATTCGGCCAATTAAATGATCACCTTCCTTGGAGGGCTGCCATGTAACCGGATGCTAAAGAGAACAAGGAAGAGATTAATCTCATCAGAAAAAGAACCATCCCATTACATATAAATCTCACCTTCACACTCAATCGCATTCACACACAGCCACAAGCAGGGTTATTATAGTTAACTAAAACTAAAACCAAAGGAAACATTTTCGTTACTTTAAATTAAATATGAACTAAAATAACATTTCTCATTTTAAGTTAGTTTAACTTGGTGTACTAAAATAATTCATAAAAATGTTTATATAACTATATAGACATGTTTAAAAAAATTACAAGAACACAACAAAATTACTACAACTTTTCCTAAAATTAAAATGTAATGGAAAATATAAAAATAAAAAAATTAATAAAAACTATAACAGAATCTCAGCAACACTGGACAATGCATGAGTGTTATACATCACATTGTTAACATAAAATACAACATTTCCCTAATTTACTTTATTAATGCACCTTCCTGATTTAATTGGAAATGTTTTCAAATGTTTTTCTAAATGTTTATTCAGAACTTTATTTTTTGCTTAAATCACTTAAGACCGCACAGGCTAAATAATATTTAACCAATAGCTAAATATCTATTTAGAAATTGTCTTGCAAAATTGTATTCGTATTGCTCAATTCTGGTGTTACATTTATGCATTTAGCAGATGCTTTTATCCAAAGCAACTTACATTGCATTTAAGCTATGTATTTTATAAGTTCATGCATTTCCTAGGAATCAAACCCATAACCTTGGCATTGCTAGCGCAGTGCTTTAATTTGAGCTACTGTAACGTATGTAACAAATGCAACAAAACCCATCCAATTAATTTGCAATGGATAAAATCAAGCTCTTAGTTTTCTTCTTGATAAATATCACAATCTGTAGGTAAAATGTTCTGTGAACATCAATTCACATTGACTAAATATACTGATCATAGCACAAGGTGGGAAAAAAACGTACATGCCATGCGGTGGGGTCCAGTGGACAGCACTCCCAGTCCCCTAAAACACACACAAAAGTTCATCAAGTTTATACACATGTTGACTATGTGAGCTGCCACCTTACACTAGCCAGAGTCCATCTCTAAACCCGCTCTGTTTACGCTTATTGAATATTTGAGCCCCAAAGGGGCACTTGCAGCCAAGATCTCACGGTAAAATATGTTTTGCTTTGACCCAGCAGCAGAGAAAGACTGAGAACTGGGATTAAAGTGGCCGCTGTGTTCGTGAATTTGTGTTTAAGAGCTACATTTAGTCCCCAGACAGAGGAAGCAATGATGACATGCAAAGCTGAATACACTCTGCCACATGGACACAAACAAACACACAGGCACCAAGGGACAGTCTCCGCGCTTTCCGTGATGTTGGCCTTCTATTTACTGTTGGCATGTTATATGGCTGAGTGCCATGCCATGTGCATACGGGTTTCTGGGCGGTTTTCCGGTTATTTTTTAGCACCTGGGGCATCTTGAACATGACGCACAGAGAGGGTGAGGAGTGCTGAAATTTTCTTCCAAAGAACAAAAATAGATTGTGCAAACTTGTAATTACCTTTAGTCTGCTGTTAAAATGTTTAAGTGTTTTAAATATTTAAAATATCTTAAAATGTAGTTTTAAGTAAAATAAAAGTGTAATGCACTCTAGGGTGGCTAATTGCTTTTATATAAACCAATAGTCAATAAATAATGTGTGGTATTTGCTAAGGGAAGCATCACTTTTATTATTGCTTATACTTTATCATAATTGAACAATGTTAGGATTTTGAACAAACTTTGAACTAAATTAAGTATTAAACTTTGGCACATAACTAAACTAAATTTACATGATTGATGCCTCAAAACCATGCGGTTAATTGAGAGGTATGCTATTGCTTTTCTTAGAAATATTACTGAGATTTTTGCCATGCGAAAGATGAAACTGACCCCCCAGCTGAAGTATCTGATTAAAAAAGAAAACAAAAAAAGAAAACAAAACAAAAAACAAAACAAAACAAAAATCACTTTAGACCTGGATAGATTACTTACAAGTATGTCAGGGAATCTTCATAGGTTACTTTTTTAAAGAAGGCTGCTTCTTCACTGTCTAACCCAGTTCTGAGCAGGGTTGTCCTATAAAAGTTACTCTAAATAAAAATGTTAAGCTCTGGAAAGCAGCTAAATTGAACTATCAATCCTGAAAAAGTATTAGTAACTAAAACATAACACACATTTTCAGCAAAAAGCAATGAACACCTTACAAAAGCAACATGTATAAATCAAAACCAAATTCCACAGGTCTGCATGCAGTAATATTAAGTAGATGTCTCGACGTATAAATGTTTAATATTGCTTGTTGTATGGTGGATTGGTCCCCTGTGTGGGCTTTTATCTAAGCCTAGTACTGAAGTGTCTCCACTTCTCATTACTTCTAATTCACATGACCTACTTAGCAAATAAACATTTCATAAGTAAATACTTCCACATTGAAACATACTGTATGCATTGTTACACAACTATGCTACCCTAGATGATAGATGGGTGTTTCCTCACCTATAGGCACTTCTGGTGTATTTAACTTAATTTGTCCTCTAACACTGCCCAACAATAGACATACACACATCACAGAAAAATAAAAAATAAACATTCCTGGAAATCACGAACATTTACTCCACAGTGTCATTTCCACCACATCTCAAAAATGTATTGTGTTTAATAGCATTATATGATGATGATTATGACAGTGATGGAAAAAACATTTTGGAATTAAATTGGCCACCTGCTTTTACCTTTATCATTTGATAGTTAACATTTATGTTGCCGAAATACATAAATAATAATGTCAATTTTTTTCATTTTGAATCTTGATTGGATATTTATTAAAGCAATTAATATAAGACTGAAGAAAAAGTCGATTCTCTTACCTGTTGTTTTTGTGAGATTGTTGAACCTGATGAAATGTTGTTCCACTGATAAGAACAAGCTTATGTTCTGCTCAACCTCCTCTCAATCTCCTGTTCTCCTATTTTTAGTCTCTCATTCCTTCTAACATAGTCTGTCTTTCCTATTCACCCCACAATGTTTACATTTCCCCCCTGGCTTGCATTTTACACTGACCTTTTAAGTCTGTGTTTAGTCAGTTTGCCAGGCTAACAACACAGTGCCATGTGAATAAGCTTCAACATTTACACTGTAAATACACTGTATAATACTGTTTTTGAAACTTGGATATGTCATTTATTAGTACGCACCCCAATACATAAAAAATAAAATAAAGAAATAAAAATAAACAGTTTTTTATATAATATAATATAATATTTTATTAATTACTTTATTATAGTATTATTTTACAATACACTACCATTTCAAAGTTTGGGGTCTGTCAGTAATATTTTATTTAATAAAATTATTACTTTTATTCAGAAAGGATCCATTCAATTGCACAAAGTGACAGTAAAGACAATTATAATAATTACAATGTTTAGAAAGATATCCATTTCAAATAACTGCTGGTCTTTTGAACTTTCTATTCAATTCTGAAACAAAAAAAATATTCCAGAAAACTATTAAGCAGCACAACTGTTTTCGAAAATGATAATAATAAGAAATATTTCTTAAGCACCAAATCAGCATATTAGAATGATTTCTGAAGTATTTAAAAAATCTTACCAACCCCAAACTTTTGAACAGTACTGTATATATTTAATGTCAAATGTTTTTTTTAAAGAAATGTGTGTGATTTATAAAGTATATGTTCTCAACGGACCTCCTGCAGTATCTTTACGGATAATAAAGGGTCAACAGACCCTTGGTTGAAAACCCTGGCGTTAGCACACAAAGGAAGTGAAGTGCCTCGCAGCTTTCAAAACAACCACTTGATAGTCATTGTTAATCCATTTGCTAGGATTTGTGCACATTGCAAAAACTACCAAATTTATAAACAACCACTTGGTAGTCATAGTTAATTCATTTACTTGCATTTGCATGCATTGCAAAAACTACCAAATTTATAAATTAAATCAAATATTACATTCATATTGATGCTGGTTTCGTTTTCTGATTTATGGAGGAGTGTGTTTATGCAAACTCATAAAATGTATAAAATTATAGAAAAGCAGGTATCCACCTGACCAACCTCTCTCGCTGACGCTCTCGATCTCCACATCTTCACAGCTGGTGTACTCCGGTGTTGAACCGCCCTCTTCCTCAGAGCTGCTGACGGACATCTGTCTCTTGTTGCCACCCCGTTTGCTCTTGTACGGGCGGGGCGGGGGCGGTCGTAGAGATTCCGATTGGTCAGAGCTGAGCGAATCATTGCGCAGCATGCTCTCTTTTTGACGTTTCGATTTGCGCAGTAGTGCAGCCGAGCCAGGGTCCAGGTGGCTCGGCTGCAACTTCCTGTCCCATTCCTGAGGCTCCCTAAGTTCAGGGGGACCTGCGGGCATGGCAGGACCCACCCTGAACCCCGGAGCTGGCGGCTGTGGGGTGTGGTTCGTTTTAGCAGGAGGACCCTGCACAGCCGGTGCACCCTGCAAACCTGTACCCCCCGCTGTCCTCTCTGGAACGTAGGCCTGTTGCTGGCCCTCCAGCGAGGTCTGCCGCCCATCTGCCCATCTCCGTGCACCTCTATTGTCCTGCACCATCTCCCCCGCTTCCCTCACCTTAGGATGCATACGTCCATCAGGCTCCGCAGGCCGGAGTTTGGCCGGTTGATGTGGAGCATTTGAGTCAGTCCTGCACTGTTCCCTGGATGGTTTATGCTCCCCCTCAGTCCTCCTAGTTTCAGGACTGTCATGCTCCTGAGAGCGAGTCTTCATCAGTCTTCGACTTTCTCTCCGATTTTCTCCGGACTCTCGCTCTTCGGAACCCTGGGAGTGGATTTTGGATAGCCCTCGCCGCCTCTCTCCTCTGGGCCCTGACTTGCCATTCTGATCAGAGGCTGCTGGTGGCTTTTTTCTACAGGTCAAATAATCACACAGCATCAGAGATTCAGAGAGTTGCACACCTTATATTAAGCAGGCACAATCTTTATTCAAATGTTTTTTTTTATACATATATATATATATATATATATATTAACTGGGATATTCTAGATGTTGTATTGAGAGAGAGCTTGAAGTGTACCTATCTTGTGGAGGCTCACTGCGTGAGCGCGATGACGGCGTGTCGGCTGACCCTGTAGAGGGGCCTTTTCTGGGGTCGTTTGGGGCAGGTGACTGGGTGTCATGGGCAGTAGAAACGGAGGAGTCGAGAGGGTTCTGAGACCTAGAGCGCATCTTCTTCTCTCCAACGGGGTCTCCACACATGGCTGGTTCACTCACTGCAGACCCCAGCTCTCCAGGTTTGGGCCCATGGCTGGGAAACCATTCTCCTGATTTAGTGAGTATATCCTGTTGCTTTCGGCACTGGTTACATACCCACATTACCTGGGGTAGAATAAATATCACTTTTCAAACGCTGTGTGAGGGTGGTTGGCAACAAATTAATCAACCTACTGTACAAGTGGCTTATTAATTAATTAATTAATTAATTTATTTTAATCTGGGATACGAGAAAGTGTTTTGACATGGAAAACAATTGCACACTTCACCTGTGTGTAAAATATAATGCTAGGGGAAAAAGACAGACGAAATAAGGATGGCACATTCATGCAATTCATGATTCTGGGTCAATGACATCAGTTATGTCCATGATAAAGAAAAGGACAAATCCTTTAAAAAAATCATGTTGGTTTCATATAGTTTCTAAAAAACAACACTTCAAATCCATTGAAAGCCGTTATCACCTATTTTTTTGGCACTGATAACATTAAACAGAACAGTTCCCAACTTTCTCCTTAAGCTTCTCCAAAAGCATTCCAGGGAGGAGAGGGGGAGACTCCCCCATCACCAGGCACCAAATACCATGTGGCACTGAGGACACTTTGAATGCACAATACACATAGGAATAGACATTGGCTACATTTAACCCATAATCATACAATATTAGCCTAATTACGATTCTTCAGTTACGTTAGAGTAACTTCAAATGCTTGTTTTCAGATTTGTGACTGTATCACGGCTTTAATTTTGTCCCAAACCAGGCAGGTATGAAAATGATCCCTCTCCTCATGCCTTAATTAATGGTGTATAGTATGTTTCCATAAATTGCATTATACTATTTTCACCATACTTTGGTGTAAAACTGCACAAATTCTCCAGACCAACATAAATATGCAAATAAAGTGTGAAGGGAGAACCCTCGTTAGGGAACGGAGACGTTCCGTCGGATGACGACGAATGGGGTTTCGCTTAGAAAGCCAATCGACTTCGAGTACTACAAAACGAGCCAATGGCAAAGAAATGCCATGGGTCTGCGGAATTTGCATAGCGTAACTCCGCCTCACCTCGTGGGTATTTAAGGAGAACGCTGGCAGCAAATAGGCATGTTTTCTTCGCTGAGGAGCCAAGACTGAGCTCAGGCGATCCCCGCGGTACAGCGGGAGTGGCAGGCAGACGGAACGTCTCCGTTCCCTACTCAGGGAACGAGGGTTACATCCGTAACCGAGACGTTCCCTTTCGTTGTCACTCCGAGTTCCGTCGGATGACGACGAATGGGGATACCAGTCTAATCACGCCACCTTCTCAGCTGTCTACCAGTGCCCTGCGTAAATCTGAGATCCCTGTCGTGAACTAGCACGGACGAAGGACTCCTATCTAGCACAGGAATACCAAGGTACACTGGGGAGCATATCCCAGATTTTAGGGAAGTATGCAATTACTGCCAACCCAGAGGGGGGGACTTAAGAATACACATATGACCCGAGGGATGCATATGGGGAATCACTGGGGTGTCCAGCCGCAGTTGAAATTTTTCAAACCCAGGGGTGGCAAGGTGGCTTGCCAAGGGAAAGACACATGCTCAGAGAGGCTTACAGTGGAAATACACATGTGGGGGTAGCTCAAGGAGGTACCATGCACACGGAAGGCACCTAGCCGACGCGCAGGCAATAGACACTGGCGCCAGCGTCAGCAGTGCTGGAGGAGCTCAGGGCTTTCGGGAAAGCTCACCTGAGGAGAATATCGCACGTATCCAGTCCGTGGAGTGGAATGGCGAGCAAGCGAAGACACCTAACGGGTCCCATGTTAGCTTGAAAAAGACAGTACATGGGAGGAGACTGGCTCCACTCGGAGATTGTAAAATCTGGCGAATGTGTTAGGTGTCGCCCAGCCTGCAGCTCTGCAGATGTCTGTTAGCGAGGCGCCATGCGCAAGAGCCCAAGAGGACGCCACACTCCGGGTGGAGTGTGCGGTCACACCAAGGGGGCACGGTCGACCTTGCTGCTGGTATGCCAAAGCAATGGCGTCCGGCCCGAATTCCAAGCACGCTTCGTCAACGGAGAATGCGTGCAGGTCCCCCACCCTCTTGATGGAGGCCAATGCAGTCAGAAGCGCTGTCTTCATTGACAGGAAGTTAAGCTCCACCGACTGCAAAGGCTCAAAGGGAGCGCTGCGCAGGGCAGTTAAGACCACTGCGAGGTCCCAAGAGGGTACGAGAGGAGGGCGAGGAGGATTCAGTCTCCTCGCTCCTCTCAGGAACCTGATGACCAGGTCATGCTTCCCCACAGACTTACCTTCTATTGGGTCATGATGTGCGGCAATAGCGGCGACATAGACCTTGAGGGTGGAGGGAGACAGCCTTCGCTCCAACCCTTCTTGAAGAAAGGAAAGCACGACACTGATCGAACATCTCCGGGGGTCTTCTCGGTGAGAAGAGCACCAGTTGACGAAGAGGTTCCACTTCAACGCATAGACGTGTCTCGTGGACGACGCTCTAGCGGAAGTGATGGTAGCCACCACCGCTGGTGGTAGGGTACTCAAACCTGCCTCGTCCCGTCCAGGAGCCACACGTGGAGGTTCCAAAGATCGGGACGAGGGTGCCATAGGGTGCCCCGTCCCTGCGAAAGGAGGTCCTTCCTCAGGGGAATCGGCCAAGGAGGTGCTGTCGCGAGGAGAATGAGTTCGGAGAACCAGGTCCGGGTGGGCCAGTACGGCGCGACCAGAGTGACCTGCTCCTCGTCCTCCCTGACCTTGCGCAGGAATTGCGCAAGAAGGCTCACTTGGGGAAACGCATATTTGCGACCCCGCAGCCAGCTGTGCGCCAGTGCATCCGTGCCGAGCGTGCCCTCGGTCAGGGAATAATACAGGGCGCAATGGGTCGAGTCGTGAGAGGCAAACAGATCTATCTGTGCGTCCCCGAACTGGTCCCAAATCAGCTGAACCGACTGGGGATGGAGACGCCAATCTCCCGGGAGGGGCTGAAGCCGTGAAAGCTCGTCGGCTGCACAGTTCAGGGCCCCGGGGATATAAATGGCACGAAGCGACCTCAGATGCTTCTGACTCCATAAGAGGAGGTGGCGGGCGAGTTGCGACATACGGCGGGAGCTCAGACCACCTTGACGGTTGATGTACGCTACGGTCGCGGTATTGTCTGAACGGACTAGTACATGCTGGCCCCTGAGCACGGCTCGGAAGCGGCGCAAGGCGAGCTGTACAGCCAGCAACTCGAGGCAATTGACGTGCCATAGGCGGTGGGGTCCTGTCCAGGAGCCCGCGGCAGCACGTCCATTGCACATGGCACCCCAGCCCGTGGTAGAGGCATCTGTCGTTACAACAATATGCCGGGAAGCTCGTTCCAGGGGCACTCCGGCCCGCAGAAAACTGAGGTTCGACCACGGGGTGAAGGTCTGACGGCAGGTCGGAGTAACTGGTACTCGGAGAGTGCCGTGTTGCCATGCCCACCTCGGAACTCGGTCGCGAAGCCAAAGCTGAAGCGGTCTCATATGAAGTAACCCGAGCGGTGTTGCCACGGCTGCGGATGCCATATGCCCCAGGAGCCTCTGAAAAAGTTTCAGTGGAACCGCACTCTTGCCCTCGAACTGTCTCAGGCAAGTCAGCAGTGACTGCGCGCGCTCGCTCGTAAGCTGCGCGGACATGGCGACCGAGTCGATCTCCATACCGAGAAAAGAGATCCTCTGCACGGGGCAAAGTTTGCTCCCTGAAGCGGGGAGGAGACCGCGCGAACTGAATCGCGTAGCCGAGCTTGATCGTTCGTGCGACCCAGCGGGACAGGTTGGGAAGCTCTAGCCAAGCTCCAAAGGACTGTACCAGCGGGGTCATGCGTACCACAGACTTCCCGTCGGTGGGGCAGCGAGGCGGTATGGCTGACCCAGACGTGGACGGCATAGCGACCCGGTGTGGGGGTACAGCCATCAACCGCGTCCTGACAGAGGAGACCAGGGAAGGACGAACGTTCCACGGGGGTCTGCTCTGCCAGGGGTCTGGCGACAGAGGAGGATGAGAGCGGCACGGTCCGGGGACGGCGCGCACTGTCATCCGGCTCTGGGACAGAGGAGGACGAGGGGTGCATGGCCCGGGGGCGGCGCACCGTGTCGTCCAAGAACTCTGTGTGCTCAGGGATGAACGTGTCACTTCTTTCTTTAACCACATAAGGGTGCTGCCCACCCGAGGGTGAGCAGCGGGGAGTGGAGAACAAAAGATTCTCCCCCGGCCCTCCACCGGGGGAAGGAGTGGTCCTGCTACCACCTCCTGAGAAGTGCACATCATCCCTGAGCAGCCCGTCTCAGGAGCGCCGCTTGGCCCGGCGTTTAGCGGGGGGCGGGGCTGGAGAGGGCTGGGGCGCCTTCTTACGGCTTCCTCCGCGACCGGGCCCAGGTGAAGGCTGCTGCTTGGGCCGGGCGGGAGGGGCGGGAGCCGTAGGAGGGCGCCCTCGGCGGCGAACAGACTGAGTATTCTGCCCGGTCGGCTGGGTGGAGGCAGCAGCGGGCCGTCGGGGCAGAATATGCTTAATAGCCTCAGTCTGTTTCTGAGCAGTCGAGAACTGTTGGGCAAAATCCTCGACTGCACCGCCGAAAAGGCCGTCTTGTGATATGGGGGTGTCGAGCAGCCGGGACCGCTCGGCATCCTTCATATCAGCAAGGTTCAGCCAGAGGTGTCTCTCCTGGACCACAGCTGTGGACATCACCAAACCCAGGGAGCGTGCGGTCACCTTCGTCGCTCGGAGAGCAAGGTCGGTGGCGGCGCGCAGCTCATTGAAGAGCCCTGGGTCTGTCCTACCCTCGTGCATGTCCCTGAGCATCTGGGCCTGGTAGACCTGCAGAATGGCCATGACATGCAAAGAGGTGGCTGCCTGTCCCGCGGCTCTGTAAGACTTCACCACTAATGTAGACGAGTACCTACAGGCTTTGGATGGGTGCTTAGGCTCACCACGAGAAGAAGCACTCTGAGGACACAGTTGCATCGCAACAGAGCGTTCAACCGGGGGGAGCCCAGTGTACCCACGGGCAGCGGCCTCATCGAGGGGAGGAAAGGTGGATGAAATCAACGAGCGGTCACGGGAAGACATGGGGGTCTTCCAGGACTTCGAG